GAAAAGGTCTTCAGACAATTAGTTGAAAAGGAGATGCGCAACCAAATCTCTGTGCTTCACTTACAATCGAAAGGAATAATGATAACATAGGGGGACCATGACTGACTAACTGACTGGTTTTAACATAGAACTTTGCACCAATGTGCAGCAGTTCAAGTCGCCAAACTTCACTTAGCACACAAAGCAAAGAGAAAAACTTAAAAAGAATTGGGAAATAGAGACAGTAAACAGATATATTAGTTAATACTGAAGAACCATATAGCCTTGTTGGATATTACAAATCACAAGGAGTGGATGCATCTGAGCCAGCCACTGAGAATGATTTTGACTCATATCACAAATCGTCTCCCGCCGTCATTTGTTTGTTTGGTCATGAGGACCTAAACCAGGGAGTCTCCATGTTCCTACGTGACTTAAACTAGCTGCCGTGGATTTAACTGACTCGTGCCATGTTTTCGTTTGACTACCACTAGCTCTTCTCCGACCTGACCTTATGTCAGCTAACATTTCCCTTTGTCGAGGAAGGAGATGGCTAGGCATGCGTTACACATTTTCTAAACATCTCAATCGGTGAACCTTTACAGCAGTTAGCCGATTTCTAGCCTCACTATTGCTCACTGTATCATACCACTTCGCACTGAAGATAGAATTCAGGCACTTATGATCAAATACAACTGGCCAAGCTTTTCATGTCTTTCACTCTCAATAGCCGATTATCGCTCACAGCCATACTGGAAAACGAAGAGAACTTCTGAGCAATACACCTGCCCTTAAGTCGACAGCCGGATATCACGTCTACGCCAGAGACAGTGTAAACTGGCAGATGCGAAACAAGCCTTATGTCACCGTGATGAGAATTAATGCAGCGATCAACCTGCTGGCCTTGGCTGATGCAACTTCACAAATAAGTGAAGTGGCAGACATGGTCTACCAACCACTTTACTTCTGCCTATCTTTAAGATAGGAGTGAGTCGATTTAGTTTAAGTTGACAAAGAGAGCGAATTGCATGCCAAACATTCGAAGACTGCCGCTCCTCAATGTATTCACGAGACTCTGAGTTCTATCAGCATCTTCGCGTAGAAAGACTATATCATCTACATATTTTAAGTCAACGAGATTATTCTTCGGTAATAAGTCAACTCCTGAGCCTCTGAAGTCAGCAGTAGGCCTAATAGCCTAAATAGCCTAATATATACAAGATAGTAATAACGAATTAAGAAAACATGCATTGATTTTACTCTGTTAACTGCAAACTTGTCATGAGGATTATAGCTTAGGGTGTCAACAGTGACTGAAGTGCCATGATGACACGACTAGTTACAAACAACAGTAAGGAAAATGGTCATTTTGCAAAAAGTCAGAGAAGATATGCCTATAAACCTCGGTCTGCCTGTCGACTTTGAATAGGCCTTCGACGATTTTTACTTTTCGCGTATTTCTGAAGATGCTTCAAAACTATGGAGTCGGATTCCCTAAATCTTTATCAGTACCATTCGATAGCTATAAGACGGTAACACACGTCGTGTGATACACAAGGCAAACTTCAGCGAAGTACTTGAAGTGAAGACACGATCAAGACAAGGCTGTTTACTATCAACTCTTCTATTCCTAACTGTGGTAGACTGGATTATGTGACATACCGTGCGTGGAGAGCGAGAAGATGGGAAAACGTTAAATCGATAAGGAGACTTTAGAAGACCTAGATTTTGCGGACGATTTATGTCTCAAGTAACACAAACTCGAAGGCTCACAGGTAAAACCAACATGTTTTCAGAAGAAGCAGCTAGATAAGACAGAGGTGATGGAGATAATCTACCGACAAATGTATGAAATACTAACTACTATCAGAGGAAGAGACCCAAACGAGATCACTTCATCAACTTATCTACGCAGAATCATTTTAACCACAGGCGACTGCATGGATGAATATGTGAAAATCAGAATGAAGAAGGTAAGACAGATCTTTATCACTATGACATTAGCTTGTAAATCGTTTATACTCAACATAAAGTCTGAAATCCTGATTTCAAAGCACCGAAATCATGTCACTTAGTCAGAAACATGGACAATGCGTCAGGAAAAGCATTTCTGACAGCCTCGAAGTAACTTCATCGGGTCTATACTGAAAATTAGATGGCCGGCCAGGAAAAGTCAGCAACGAGAGAGTCTGGGAATGAACCAAGGACCTAACGCTCGGCAAAAATACCTAGAAAAGTAGAGATGGATAGGGTACATTCTGAGGAGATCATTAGGTGATATCGGACGACAGGTCACTGCTCTAGTGAACCCTGATTAGAAAACGATAAGTTTGGCGTCCAACAGAGAGTGACATGGATGAAATCATCTGAGGAGGAGATAAAATATGTAGAGAGTAGTGAGAACTGTTGAAGAGGATCACAGAGGACTGGATGAAATGGAGGTCTTTCGTTGAAGCCTAATGTTCCCCTCGGAACGCAAGGGGATAATAACAATAATATATTCTTTGGTTGGTTACAGGACTTCACTATAGACTTACATCGGTTAGAAAACCACTTGAAGACCTGAGAGTAATAATGCTCACTAGCGACTGGCACGGGGCTCTATAGAGAAGCCGTGGCCAGTAGGGTACATCAGGTTGAAGTTGAGGCAGTGACTCATCGAAGAAGTCATTATGAAATGGTCAATCTATGTCATGAATCGGCAGAAGTTAGAACTAATAGGATGCCTATTAGGGCAGATCCCAGTACTTGGTGGTCTACGAGATTGCTAGCCTCGTAACCAGAAGGTCTTGGGTTGGAACTCTGGCGCCCGGTGCGTACTGACGAAGAGTCCCAAACCGAGCTGACGAAACGGTTGTTCAGCACTCTCAGGTTTTCCAGTGGGTCTCTGAACAATGTTAGCCCACTGTGAAATCCTGTAACCAATCAATCAAATCCTTGATTATCGGTTATGTGTGGTAGGTTCACAAAGTACTAACGATATCGATATTGTAACCTCGCTTCAAAACTAGTACAGCAATAGAAAGTAATTCGCGCATCATGCTATATACTGATGGCTGATTGATGTGAGTAGATGAGCAACACTCATATCAATGAGTAGTGCTTGCTAGCCAGTTCGATCAAATTGATTTTAATACCACGATGTTGTTTTTATTGGTTTGACCTGCTTTCACTCAATTCAGTCCAAACTATTCAATTTTTCACCAGCTGGCTGTATGGTGAGGTGCTTCGGTCGACTGGTAAATTTTTGAACTTGTGTTCGGCTCGGTGTAGTGGTTGTGCAGCCTTTCAGCCGTATTTGTGTAAACAGGTGCTGACAGAGAAGGGCGAGTTTGTCTTACCCGCTATCTGTTGCCATGCTTCCGGATGCCTTTAACCGGGTGTCGGGAGCGGACAGCATCTTTACTTTGAACAAATGTGGGTGCTCAAGGAAGGCCTTTGTGCCTAGAAATTCTTGCATGGAATAATGAAATAGGACTTTGGTTCTATTTTGTTTGTTTTCGGATCCGAAGTAATGATTAAGAGGGACAGACGGGGGCATTTGTATGGCGGTGTTAGAGGTGAAATTCTCGGATTATCGCCAGACAAACTACAGCGAAAAAATTTGCCAAGAATGCTTTCATTGTTCAGGAGCAAAAGTCAGATTTTCGAAGACGACCAGATACCGTCGTAGTTCTGACCATAAACGATGCCAAATGACGATCCGCGATGGTTCTATAATTGATTGATTTTTTGATTGATTTGAGAATCTCGTCTTCTTTTTAATCAGCCACAATTTAAGAAAAAAGTTGTCATTATTGACTGGCACAATATTCTAACCTGTTTTCACTCCCGATTATTGATATATCCACTGTTTTATGCTAAATTTATAATTAGTGTAAAAGGAAATTAAGTGTGAACACCACTCGTTAGCATTTTGGACACTTTCTTGTATAATTCATCCGCTTATTCCATCAACTACATTCCATTTTTTTTTGGGTGATCATTATTAGCAGAATTCATTCACGTGTCTCAGTTGAAGTGAACAAACAACTGTCTCATTCGTTCTACAAACTACAGGTCAAGTGAGTGTTGTCAAAAGCAGTTGATTTGAAAAAGCTATACACTATATAAAAACTCACCTATCTTATTAGCTCACAAGTTTTCTAGCCGGTCTCAAACCCAGGGACAGAGGGAGGGTTTGTCGTGGGGTTTGAAACCCTACCCCACACACACAAAAAACCAATCAAACTGATACAGAAACTTCATTGTAGAAGGAAAATACACAAAAATATAATAAAAGCAAACTTTGGAGTACGGGATAGCTGTTTTGTCCTGGTTTTGGACTCTTCATCAGGACGAAACAGCTGCCCAGTACTCTCAGGTTTCCCAATGGTTCTCTAACCAATGTCAGCTCATGATGAAATCCTGTGACCAGTCAAACCCTCACAAACCAACACTTGAAATGCAAACTTATTCTTCGCTTGAATCGGAGAGGCGAAATGACAGAGCTGGGCTGGTGACAGCCTACGGTGAAAGTCTACGAGCAGTCATGAAGCCATCTTAAATGGATAACAGAAAACTTGGAAACCAAGGCAGCTATAAAGAATAACATATATATATTACCCGGCAACATACCAATGACAATAAGCATCAAAAATTCAACACAAACAAGGTCTGTTTACCCCCCCCCCGCCGCCCTCCACCGTTATTATCTACATGAATACAAAGATTTCTGCATTTCAAACCATTGTGCTATCATTGACCTTTATAGATATATTTGATTGAATATGGAACTAGCGAATGTACACATGATCGTTTTCACATGATTTTTCTCTGTGTGGTTAGAATTCTATCTTTGATGTTCTTTTATGTTGGATGGATATGTCTTATTTTCTTTTCCAGTATATACAACAAAACAAGGTAGAAATACGGACAGGTTGGAGTGTGGTACAGACATACAAGGAGGCAAACATGTGATGAACCTGTCTACTTAATAACATACTTACATGTATATACGTATTGTTATTATTGTGTTTCTACACACATACATACAATTCCTCAAAACGTGATTAGTTCAGCAAAGCAAAATAGTTTTGTTTCCCCTAAATTGTGTATTCTGAGATCACTGATTTCTCCGCCACCACTGCCTTCTCAATCCCCCTACTCCAACTGCAAATCGGAGTGGTCTAATCCTAATCCTCAAATATTTTTTTAAATTCACAAATAATCATATTACTACAACTAATAATAATAATTAGGGAGAATAAACTTACCTTCCGCGAAGTTCACATATGAACATATATATCTAAGTATTCGTTCTATTTTTATTCAATCCCAATTGGCCAAACTTTTAACCAAATGATCGGATTAAAACTTTGTGTAAAAAAAATTTTTCTCTTTCAATATATGTTTAAAAAAGGATATTTCTAAAAAAAAAGTGAATGATTTTTGTAAGCTTCATTTCGAGTGAACATTAAACCCACCACCACCACCACTATACTCAGTGATTATATACCTCTCGTTAACGCTGAAGACAAAGAAACAAAACTGTGAGCATACTAACAGATACATTGCATTTTGTCACATTTCTCTTGTGCGCGTGTGCCTGTGTGTGTGTGTGTGCGTGCGTGCGTGGGTCTTGTAACATATTACATTTTGAGTTGATTCAGAAAAAGACAGAGTGGAATTCCTCAGTCATGTATGGAGCAACAACTGGATCTAAAAAAAGCAAAAGTAAGTCTTTGATCAATTGACATACTGAAGTCTTTCTCTTTTTAATACATGACATTTTTCACCGCCTTGTAAGGAGGGATTGGATTCAAGGAACGGGTGATACTTTGAATAGTAACCCTTCGCCTCCCCCTCATAATTATACAAGAAAAGTTGAAGTAGGAGGCAGTTTCATATTCTTGGTTGATGACTATGTGTTTTTTGACTGAAGTCAGTGAGTAAGGGTTTTTGGTGTGGTGATCAAATTGTTTGTAATTTCTGTTGATTCGAAATCTATAGACCACTAATGTGTTGCAATGACTGTGAGCTAAGCCAACTATATAGGTCAAACTAGTAGATAGAGGGTTAATCAGACTGTCGGAACACTAGAATGGTCGACCCAGAGAAGGAAAGCAATTTATGAAAACGCTCAGCAATTGCACTTCACGCATAAACACACAATAGTGTAGTGGGGGAAGGTTAGAATTATAAGAAGTAATCTATGTAGGTAAAGAGAGAGGTTGATTACTGAATCCTGAATGCTTCATTGAGTCTACACGCAACACAACTCATGCAACAGAAATGACTCTATGCAAATACCACATATATGCATGGAAGATATTATTACCCCCAATCAGTCAAATCAGAGGGGGATAATAAATAATCTTAAAATTCTATTTCAATTCAAGCACATTACAGCATTCTAACAAGTTCCTTATTACCGATGACTATAAAAACACTCGTCTTATTTCTCATTTGAGTGTGATTGATGAATAACACTCATATTACTATTTCTGAATGTACATTATCTCATAATGATTTTTATTCAGATATCTAAACATCAATTCCACACATGTATATAAATGAAGGAAAAAGTTGTATGAGTTACTTGATATGATCATGAGTGGCAATAGTTTATGTTCGACAGGTGGTCATCAGTTAATTTTACTGTATAACACTGTACACTGACTTATCAAAATAAAATCTTATCTATAATGGAGCTCGGTCCTACTCAAATTTGTCGACAATCACCTTTTCTCGAACGCGACATGATGGATTCTACAGCAAGCTCACCTTAAAATTATATAAATATATATATATTGATGCTGTCAAAAATGTTACGTAATTCAAATTGACCTAATTTGACTGTAGAGGATCGGTAACGAGTTAATGTCCTTTAGAGAACCACTGCAAAACCGCCCAAAGAATACTGGACAGTTGTTAAGTTTTCCTTAGGGAGTCTTTAGCAGTATGCATCCACTGCTAGAGTTTGAACCCGCAATCTTCCAGTTACAAGGTGAGATCTTAGACAATTCAGCAAATGAGAGCCGACTGAGTGGTCCATGTGTTGCAATCCTATATATAACCAATCAAATTTCTGCAAATCAATACTCTACAACGTATATGGAGTATTATGATAAATTAACTCCTCGAAGACGTAAGAACTTCCTTAACCTATCTGGCAGTTTTTATGATACAGGGTGTTGGATAGATCTTAAATCAGTTTTAGAAGGCTACCAGGTTAGTGAAGTTTCGCAAGGTCATACATATGTAATTCGATGGATTTAAGTTATCTATAAAGTATTTCATTTACAAAACAATGTACAGAATAACATCTGAAGCTGACGAATAATCGTCTTTCGAAAAGACACACAGTTATACAGTATTATTTACTGATGACGTGTCGAGGACAATTTTCATTTTCAGTATACAAATCAATGTGTCCACATAACTTTCATACTATGCTAATATAATTCAACCGTTTCTAATCCTTTGATTTTATTATTAATAACATTTTTCAAACTTATGATATCAAAGTTGACTAGATTCTAGGGAACAACGATCAGTAGTCAACCCCTGTCTCTCTCCGCACCTATCTATATAACTTTTCAGAACACTACAGCTCTCTACACTGAGAAGGCCTTCACTGCTCTACTTACTATAGCTGGTGTTCCTCGATACGCTGATCTTTCTACTTTTCTGTCATTTTCATTTCATTTTAAATTACTTGGCTCATGTTGGCGAAGCCGATTTTCTTAAGTATGCCGATAATTTCATTGTCTCTAGACCCGTTACTTCTCAAATTCGCAGTTGTTCAAAAATTAACAATGTTTCATTAGGTATTAGTCAGCCGTCATCTTCGAATAATCTAACCCTCAAAAGTGTAATTTAAATGAACAAGATATTTGAATAATGAATAGGTGATGAAGAAGTCGAAATTAAGCTGAATGTTTAATATCATCGATTGTTCGTTTCTTTTGATTTTGCCTAGTCTTCCCATGTCATGACACTTTCTAGAAAGATATTTCGTTCAACGTTCTACGTATGGAAGCGAACACAATGCTGCGATCACTCAATCATTACACAAACGGTTTGTTACTTCATCCATACTATTCTTAATTCTTCACACTTCATCTCTCCTACGCTACTGAAGAAAGACTGTGTCACTCTCTGTAAACCTCTATAACCTGCAATCATGGCGGATGTGGCGTAGCTAAACCAACTTCATGATACTCTTCTACATAGACACATGAACTCATGTGAGAAATCACTGAATATCATCTTGTCACACTCTCAGAACCCTATAGATAGATACACAACATTCCCCGTCCATCTTATCAGGTTGAACTACAAGCAGCGATAGAAGACTTTGCGCTCAGACAATGAAGTATAATGGCTCCACAATACCATCTCATTCAGCCAGGACACATTTCATGTATATGAGAAGAGTGTAGGTTGGGACACTACCAGCCCCCTGAGAAACACTGAGTAAACATCCCCCACCCCTTTCCACTCTTTCATTCATTCATTCATTATTATATTGTGGTTAGCATTTACAATTAAATTCTAATCTTACATATTCATATCCTCATCGGACGATATTATTGACGTAAGGGCACTGTTTAATTCTTTCTCCTTGTAGTACATGAAGAGAATATTAGGTAGAATATTTTGTAGATGCTGGAAATTCCATAATTGTATCAAATGAACCGTTTGGAATAGAACTATTATTATTAGTAATCTATTGTTAGTATACTGTACCACACAGGACTGTGCATCGGCGGCATAATGGTTGAATTTTCACCAGCCATGGTCCGGCGTTCGATCCCCGGCCGATGCACTCCTCCACCTCGCCAACCCAGTAATAAGACTGGTAAAGAGGGAAGGTTAGGCATGAGGCTGGCTGGCAACCTCATCCCGTAAACATGAACACCACTGCTACCGAAAATTTAAGTTTCTAGCATGAAGATCTATGTTCCACTGGGAACGTGATGGAATAAAAAAAAAAGTTCTGTCATCTGGTCTTCCTTGAAAATCCTATATCCTGTTAATTTCTGTGAAAACGCTCCATCTAACCTTCTACATTAAAAGCTAAGATAAGACAGGTGTCACTTACCTCCTCTTTTTACAGTTTCTTCACTGTTTCCTTTTACCTACTGTAGTTTACTCTTCCTCCTTAATCTTTCCTGACATACTCAAAAAAGATTACGTCGTACCCTGATTGCATACTTGTGTGATGTATCTAGTCATTTCGATGGTGATGACTGATTTCTAGCAGTCAGATGTACAATGTGTTCAGTGATAACATCTCTGACTGCAGAACTCACTGGGACACGAGTTCCTACAAGGCTGCAAATACACCTTCCTGACTGGTCAGTGCCAACTGGCATGAAACCTAGGTCAAACAGGACTTCCTGTGGCCAATTGCCTCCAACCATCTGTTGTCATACTGAGAAGGATATCTCAGGTTGTCAGTAGAATAGGCAGTGTGTTACGCAGTCAGCTCGTTAGTCTACAGACATCTGAATTCATAGTCTAAGTCCCAACACAGTCTTTATTAAAATAATTAGTCCTTTTGATAAATTTGAATAAGGCATTAAGAAGACAAATTTCGCGAGATGATATCGTCATTTCGTAGTTTCTTTACAACCGCTTTACAACTAACATGGTTAACAATAATAAGATAAAACAAATGTCATGACAATTACTCAGTTAAATTAAACAACAAGAGGTATATACTGATGACTAATCATCTTTTTAATTAGATCATGTAGTCCGTGGTAGGCGAAGATTGAAGTCTATTCATTTTTGTACACACAGTTTAGGCTGTATGTGATTAATCTCCAAAAGTGCTTCCATCACCTTCAATAACCTTGAATTAGAGTTATGTGAAATAATTGTGAAACAGTCATTAATACTGATTTTGTGACCTGATAATAATAAGTGTTTTGCAGTGGGTGATGATGGATTTCTCTTCAGACTAATTGCATTAGGATTTTCTGTATGATTTAGTAGCTATTTTGGAACATGTTCTTTTCGACCACGACATCGAAACATTCCAGTGGTTCTACCTATATAAGTATCATCGCAGCTGTAGGTGAACTTGAAGATACAGTTTGAAGTAGAGTCCACAGAATTTCGTCGTTTAATCATAGGTACAGGGAACGAAAATTTTCTGCAAGTGAGAAAAGAGATACGGTGTAGAACGTGCATTTGATGGTTGACCGAAGTCTTTGAGCTAGCTGTCAAATGCATAATCTGGTCGCCCTTGAATCGTAGGTACAGAAGCTGTCTTTTCAAGATGTGGTCTATCCTTACTGGGACAACTGATCGAGTAAGTAAGCCTCTATTGTCACTTCTCCACCTTACATCTCATCTGGCATGACTAGAAGTCATTATCAAAGATTAGATGCATGTAAAACCAATTACTAGAACTCGGTGATACCCTATTTGACGCAACCCCGTTCTGCGTGATAGCGGTAATGTTTTGTGTTGAGACCTGCAACTTATTATGTTTTTTATTCCCTCGTATATTTGTAATCTATGATGACAATTATTGACCTATAATTTTAGATTGTTATCATTATTTTACACTTTTTGTACATTTTTGACTTTATTTTCAACGGCAAATAGTAAATCGCGGCTATTATTAATTCTACTTTCCATGTGCTCTGTGACATCAATTTTTTTGTTTGAGTAAAACATTAGATGCAGTAATATTGTGCAAGATGCTGAGAATTCCA